CAGAGCGGCTCGGTAGTGTTCCCCCAATAGTCGCACCTCGTCAACCGTACTGGCCACTCGTATCTCATCGATGCCCTCCTCAAGTGTAGGAGATTCCCATCGTTTCGTCATCATGCCCAGGCCGATCAGCAGAGAGTTTCTCTGGTTCGCAGTCAGAGGCTTCCCCTCATGCACCTCGCGCGACTTCAACCTAGCCCGACAGATTTCCCTTTCGGTGTCCAGCACGCAGACACACACCTTAGCATTAAAGCGTTTGGCCAAACTGATAAAGGGCGCCCTCTGAGCCTTGTCAGTGTTGGTGCGGTCGAGCACGACGCTCCGGCCTTCCTCCAAGAGCCGCTCTACTTCTCTTAAGGTTCTCTCCTTCGACTTGAGCACATCTTGGCAAACTCTGACGTAGCCCGCCGGGACCAGAAAGTGTTGTGACAATGTCGACTTGCCACTACACGGCAGTCCGCACAGCATCAACATGATTTTTTCCGATGGTGTTTCACTGGTGTCCGCCTCATTCAAGGGGCCCACTTTCCTCTTCCACAGTTTAATAGCCTCTTCAGAAGTTGGCCGAGGCCTGTCAGTCAAAAGCAGAGCCTCTACAGCTTGAGAGCCGAACACTCTTGCGAGCGATTCCAGACGAGATCTGGTCGCGGAAACCTCCTCCTGGTGGGCACAAGCCACAACGACCCCCACCGGGCTAGTGGACACACACCCCCCTCTAAATGAGTCAAATGCGTCTCCGTCCACCACGACTGTGATCGGCTGTAGTTTGGTAGCGTCAGTGAAAGTGGATACACCGTGATAACATACAGAGGAGTTCTCATCTAGGGGAGGGAGTTCAGACCACTCCATTGAATACTGAGTGAAAGGCAGCAAGTGAGGTGGCGGGGTCGGCCTTACCTTACGAGGAGGCATTGTTACCGATGACGATGATGACTAACTGATTCGCATAAGAGACTTCCCTGATCTCCTCCAATTCCGACTATCTACAACGCAACACTTTTCTTCGTCGACTTGCAATCGTATTGCCACTACAGACGTCTTAAGCAATGAGCATGTTGATGATGATAGCACAGTGGTAGAGGATACCCGAGGCTT